TATATATATATATATATATACTTTAAATACTTTTAAGAGAAGATTTAATAAGAGAATGCCACAATTTATATAAATAGATATATATATAGATAGTCCATTTAAATCGACCATCTATTCTGAAATATTTCGCTTATTTTTGATATAAAAAAATATTTCAAATGAAAGTGCAACCATTTATGAGGAATACGTATTTTAATCACATTTTTTTCTAGGTGAAGGTGTCAAAAAGATACAAAGGTCACCTTCATTTTTTTTTAATAGAAATGTATAATTTTTTTACACAATATGATTCCTTTAATCTACATATATAAGTATTAAAGTAGAGATATTAAAACATCAATAGTTTACGAGATATTTTCTATTTATTCCGGCACATATTGATATAAAATATTAAATAACTCTCGTAAACTTAATTTTTTGATAATCGTACCTTAATACTTTTATAAACAAAACAATAAGATGAATCACTTGATGGAAAGAAAACGTAATTGCTTTAAAAAAATATGTATGCAAAATAGATAATTTTTTAAATAAGGAATTATGTGTTTTCCTTCCAATTGATTCATCTCATTATTCTATTCATAAAAATATTACATAAAAGTATTAAGGTACGATTATTAAAAAATTAATAGTTTAAGAGTCATTTACCATTTTATCAATATATGTCAGAATAAGTATAAAATATCTTCTAAACTAATTGGTGTTTTAATATCTCTACCTTAATACTTGTATATGTAGAATAGTGAAAGGAATCATATTGTATAAAAAAAAATCATACGATTCCATTTAAAAAAGTAAAAGTGATCTTAATATTTTTTTAGCGCTTCCATCTAGAAAAAAAACATGATCAAAATACATCTCGAAACTGTTCCATTTTCATTTGAAATATTTTTTTATATTATCAAAAATAAGCAAGATATTTAAAATGATCAATTTAAGTGAACCACTCTATATAGAAGATTTTTTACCTTTCACCCATTATAAGATCATTGTCGACAAGAGTAGGTATCTCTTTTTGTGGATTTAGCTGCAACTCAATATGTTTTATTGTTTGTTCAATATGTTATTTATTCACATTTTTCTTTTTTTTTAACTATACCTTTTCGTATTCTTCAGTCATATGGTCACCTTTTCCAAAATTTACATTGACCAATTCGTATTTAATATCTAAAGCCTTCAATAGTTGCTGACATGCAAGAGATGGTGGACCGTCCGAAACACTATATAGCTTCATATTATATCTGCAAATATTAAACCAGATCATAGGTGTATACATACAAATTTGTATACATGTAGTAGTTTGTAGTGTATACATTACATACAAATTTGTATTAACTACATTAAATGTATTAACAAAATTAAAATATATAAGCAAATCAATATTCAATGTTCAATATAAAAATCGTAATTTTATAAAACTAAATTTGCAGAAAATTGAAAAAAAAATCTCACTCACATACGGAATTTAATAGCTATTTTTGAAAAAAAAAAAATTAATAACAGACTATAGAAGTTTTTCAAAAAGTGATCACAAAAATCATCCTCTATCATTTTGCGACTAAACTCTGTGTTCAATAATACCTTATAATAAGATACATTATTAATCACAGGGAAATTTCAAATTGAGATGACAAAATTGTTTTCAGAGCTAGGAGGGGGGGAGGAGGGATGGAATTAAAGGCCATTATCGAATTATCATTATAGATCTGCGAAGTCCGGTATTTTAAGAAATTAATTGATCCAGCCGATGCAGGCAAGATCGCGATCTAACCGATGAATTGTATCGATCGGCATGGCTGTCACTCTCGCACAGTCAGCTGCCCCTCTCCAGTGTAATAGGGAAAGGGAAGATTCATTCCAGTATGTATATAACGCACTTCTGCAGTCTTACGTAAATGACACTTTGAATATAAAAAAGTCGGATTTTCGCATAGACGTATATAATATACGTATAATAGACGTATATATAATAATACATGACACCCCCTCCAGCTATGATAACAATTGTGGTGTCTCTCTCTTTCTCTCTCTCTCGCTCACGCGCGCGCGCCACACACACATACACAAACTTCAACCTAAACTTCTTTGTAATTAATATCTCATAATGTAGGGTATTATTTAGCACAAAGTTCAATCCAAAAATTGAGGGCTCAAAAATGTGAAAAAAATCCTTTTTTTGTGTCACTCTTTTATCAATTTAAAACATATGCTTTTATAATATTCTTGATCTTCTACATCGAACAAAAATTAAAACGTACTGTACATAAATAAATAAACTGATATTATGAAATTAATTATATTATTAGAGTAAATAATATTACTTACATTATTATTTAATAGCAAGAAATAAAAATGTGACTGCAAGCTGCTACGATAGAAACGTAAAAGATGTCACTCTTGATAAGACAAATGCCTTTCACTAACTATTCAAGGTTTATAATATCACGTGATCTACTTTATAAATTCTATCGCATAATGTATATGATGTATGCATTATCTATGCGAAACTTTCGATAAAATTTAATTACTTTATCACTGATAAAATTATTTTTCACTCATGGACCTAAATTAATAAATGTTTTTATAAAACAATCATAATTTTTTTAATCGTAATCAATAACTCAGATCAATGACAAGAGTAATAAATGTAATTAATGACAAAAAAAATTATAAAAGTATATCGTTAAAAAAAATATGAGAGTAGAACATTACTGTACATGATTTTAAAAATTACACGAACTACTAGCATACAATATTTTTAAAGAAATAAATATTATATACTTTATTTGGTCTTAGATTATTTTGTTGCACACGGATACAATTATATTGATGGACAAATGGAAAATCAATTCTTCAACTAACAAGTATATAATAACAATGAGAATTACCATCTAATTATAGTATTTCAATAACTTACGGTTTTTGTTATCAGGGAGTAGCAACAAAACAAAATAAAAATATTATAAATAAAATATGTAATAGTTACAAAATTCATAGGTGTATCCATCATCCCAATTTCATAATAATTAATAAATAACAATAATAAATTACATCTAAAATAATTTAAAACTGCATATTAAAACTGCAGCTATAAAATTAAAAACTGTTAAGTCTCAAAAACGCTTTTCTTTTCTTCTATTCAGCGAGATACAGAATATATTTACAAATTCTATGTGATTACTTTAAAAAAGTTTTTGTCATCTTTTGGGCATTATTGGCGGTTGTATCTCTCATTACAAAAATGTCGGTTTGTGGAACACAGTTAATATACAAACTCATTAACGCATATTTATGTCCATAATATGCACTTGCATTTTACATTATTATATAATAGCAAATAATTTACATTCATATCTCAATTATATATAATGCGTTCATACACACAGATATTAGACAAAATTATAGGAATAGAAGTCTATATGTTTAGACTCCAAGGAGGGAAATTACACTTACAGCACAATAATAGAAATTTTCTTTTTTTACTAAATGTGTACTAAGTTTTTCTTTTTATTTCACATTGCATTTGATATGTTATAATTGCAATGTAATATACATATATTTCATTAGAATTACATAAATGTAAACAATGTAATGTTTAATAAAATCAATCAATTCATTTGAGTTAGAAATAAAAGTCCAAGAACATACAATTATATCTTACGTTTTATGATATTTTATCTTTTACAAATATTTTATATAACCTGGAAAAATGTTTTTTTTTTAAAGAAACAAAAAAGAAAATGTAGTATGAATTACTTAGAAATATAAAATATATTATATAACAAGAAATATAAAACATATCTTCTTTTTGAATTTCTTGTAAAAATGTAGAATATAAACATTTTTAATTTTTATTTTTCGATATTCCATGACACTTTCGACAGATTTCCTTTGTAAACATTAATTCGCTGGCGATATAACAATATGTAATTTGAGCATGTCTTTATTAGGGCCCACTAAAAAGGGAGATATAACATTTTCCGATACTGAGCCCTGTTGTGGATTGAGTTCTTCAAACGGCAAAAGATCATCTAAATTCAGGACACGATCCTTCTTACTGAATCTATGAATAATCTCGGTAACTCTTGCAATGTGCTCAACACCATCTTGTAAACCATAAATTAAAACTCCGATTTTTACGCGCATGTTACTATTTAATGGTTCCTTACAAGTCAATGACAATCTCACTGATCGCTTGACATGTTCGGGCATCTCCACGGTACCCTGCCATACTATAAGGAAAAATTTCTTGAACCACACACCCTTAGGATAGATATCTACTACCCACTCGCATACTCTATCGCCTGCATGCTCCGCTAAACTGGAGTGACTAGAAAATACAAGTGTCCTCATGTGATAAGATGGCAAACTGTGAAAGTTCTCTATGGTCAGTAATGAGCTACAAGTGTCAACAGTATACAATCTCGGCTCAAACAATAATGCGCCATCTTCTTCACTCATGCTGACTTCTTTTACTCTGTTGATATGTCCTGAATGAAAAGACATCCCAATAGACATACGTTCCACAAAGAATTCCTTATACTTGTTTGTTAATGGTGACAGTAGCAAGTCTGCCAATTGTCGTGGTGACATCATTGGAAATCTAACAGGCGACATCACAGCTATCACCAATTGATACAATGTTGCTTCCACTTCTTCTGGCGATAACTGTGCTCTCAAACGATTTGCTTGATAATTCAGCCAATGTTCTAGGCACTTGTAAAGCGTCATTTCATCTTTCACAACTAAATTACTTTGATGCAACAAGGACACTAGAATATCCAGATCAAAATTCCCAAAGTCTGCAGTCTTGGCCACAAGTTCCAAATTCCACTTGATGAAATTTTGGCATGCTTGACTAATATCATGATGCCCACAATTTAATGTGTATTGTAGCCATGATACCAATGTGCCATGTATAGCAGCTAATGCGACATGATTCCGCATATAGTCAAGGCACAATGATATCAAATCTTTGACGTTGTACTTATCGGCTAAGGACAATATGGGTAAAACAACACTATGATTTATTCTTATCTGACCAGTGTAAAAATAACGCAAAAATTCACTGAATATTGGTGCACACTGTGGTGTTTCTTGGAGAGTTACTCTGCTTTCCTGAGACTCGCTCCATTGTGGACTCATTAGCATTACCTGTAATATAACAATAATGCTGATTATATCAATCTTAATCAATCTTGATTTCTTTTAATAAATTTCTATATTTACTTGGAAAACATCACTAGAAGCACAGAGTATTAGTCGATGTGCTGGATATTCTACACCATCCACAACAAGACAAATATCATTCATAAGACGCTCCGCATACAGTGTTGCTATCTTTAGCAGAACTGTACGAGAATTGTCTACCTACAATCAATAGATTATTGAAGAAGTCAACAAATATGTATTTAAATGGCAAAGATGTTTTTTGTAACACTTTAGACATACCTCTATAGAGTCTGAACTCTCAGACTGTGCAACAGTACTACTAACCGCTCCTGATCTCTTATTGGAATCCATCCTTGAGGTACCTGTCATCCACCCGATAGTAGTCCGTAACATCTGAACATGTTTTCTCGACGTATTTGTAATTCAATCGTTGCTCAACATTACCAAAAAAGAAATTTGAGGACAATAGACTGTTTCCATAGAATTTTCCATTATTTCAAACTACTAGCGACGAATTCTATAAATAATTAACATAGAGATAAAATCTTATGAATAAC